AGTTCTGGGGAACCTGCTGATCATGATCCTGGTGCAGATTGATGTTCGGCTCCATACACCCATGTACTATTTTCTCTCTCACCTTGCAGGGATAGAGATGTGTTACGTCACCAGCACCTTGCCTCTCATGTTATCCCACCTGATGGCTGGAAACGGAGCCATCTCTTTTGCACTCTGCACCATCCAGACGTACATCGCATTGACCATGGCAAGTATGGAGTCCTTGCTATTGGGTGTCATGGCCTATGACCGTTACCTTGCCATCTGCCATCCTCTAATATATGCAGTTATCATGGGCAAGAGGTGCCAGTTGCAGTTTGCATTAGCCTGCTGGGTAATTGCTCCTCTGCTTTGTGCCATCTGTATTACCTGCCTTGTCTGCCAATCTTATTGTGGTCCCAACCAGATCAACCACTTCATATGTGAAGTGCCAGTGGTGCTAAAACTTGCATGTGGTGATATAGAAATTGTGAAGTACATTTTCTTTGGTATAGGAGCATTTGTCCTTCTGCTTCCCCTTTCTGTTATTCTGACCTCCTATGGATTTATACTTCATTCTGTATCCCGTATGAAGTCAAAAGTTGGACGGCGCAAGGCTTTCTCTACGTGTGGTTCCCATTTGATTGTGGTCTCCTTGTTTTATTTCCCTGCCATCTTGATGTACATAATTCCAAAGTCAGATTCGTCTCCTGATCGTGATAAACAAATTGCAATCTTCTATATTCTGATTACCCCTCTGTTCAACCCCATCATTTATACTTTGAGGAACAAGGACATCCACAGGGCAGCATCCAAGATGCTGTGAAGAGTTGCTTTGTACAAAACTAACATACAAATAAAACTTTAGAGTTTCCACCATGCTTAATTAGCTAACTGCTTAATAACCCAAACTGATGGTGTGATAGTGGCTGATTGTGAGAATTACTCCAGAATGCTTTAAAGGGAGTTTGTCAAGCCATGAGGTCAATGCAATGAATTCTGTGGATGAACTATCTCTCATCCTTTTCACATGACTCTTGTGGTAAAAAAATAAACCAAAATGCTCTAAATCTCTTTTGATCTAACTCTCTTGGAAACCCTATGTAGAATTTATAATACAATGTGTGCATACACTTGAAGCTGATTGCTATACATGCCTCATTCTCCAAATTGGGTGTGAACCCCTTGGATATGGTATTACCCATCATAGTTTCGTTTGAAATGATCTCACTGAGACTTTAGAGATATGTTTTAATATTTGAATTCATTTAAAATTATACAGTTGGCCTACAGGCTGGAGTTCACCACTGAATACCTTCCCATATAAATCTTCCAGACTAGTACGCCTCTCATTTTCTATCTATCTGTCTAACTGCAGATAGATAGATGTTGTATCTAGAGTATTGTAAAGGTCACCTCCTCGTTAACCTACCAGATTCATTTTCAGAGAAGGAATGAGGGAGAAAGTAGGGAAATTAATATAATATTGTTCAAGAACAGCTGTCTATCCCTTAATGATATCCATGGATATTCAAAGAGGAAATGATGAACCTCTAACCAACATTCCACTATCATAGCTGGTGAACACGCAAAATAACACAACTGGAGAAAACCAGTTTTAGGACCATGTTTATTTTTAGAGTTCACAATTCTGTGTGGGACAATCCTTCCTGAGATTTTCCAGTTGCATTCCAAGAACAACAAGATATGGCAAAGGAAATCATACACCCACAGTGAAGAGGATCTTTTTAAAATTTTAAATAGAGATTAGAGAGCTATTTTAAGTGGGGCACACCAGTTCCTGACAGCAAGGGTTCATATCCTTGTGCCAGACCCAACCATATAGCTTTGGATCATTTTCCTCAGTGAATAAATGAAGAGGGAAAATGTTCTTGACTCCTTTGTCAAATTGGGTTCTCTTTATCTAGTTTTAGGACTTGTGTGGAGAAGAGATCA